CTTCAGGGTCCTCGGGTTCGCCGCCGCCCCCTCCTGGTACCTCCTGATGGCGGTGAAGCGTGGCCAGACCGGGTCACTCCTGACCGTCTGCACCCGCGAAAAAAACTCCGGTCATATCGTCCGGAGCACACCTCTCCTGAGCTGGGGGAACGGGGAGACCTCTGCAGGCGGCCGCCTTGCATATGATCTCCGGTAGTTCCCCCAGGATGCCACCTATCACCGGCAGCGCCGTGGTGACGGAGAAGGGGACCGCGTGCTCGTCCGCCAAGCCGGCACCCTGCTCCGACTCTGTCTCCCCCGTCTGGGGGAGAGGAGGGAGGGGAGAGGAGGGAGGGGAGAACCGTACGGTGAACCGTGGAGGGAGGCGGGGTAGGAGTCGTCCGACACCTGCCCGGCACTCGGCTCCAGAGACATGAGGCCGCCGTCCACGGGCTCGAAAGCCTGGACGGGCCAATCGTCCTCCTCGGCCGCAGCAGCGAGAGCGTCCGCTCTTCGCTTCCTGTCGTCCGCGGGGAGACGGGCACAGTGTGTGCATGCCACCTGCTGGCTGAGAGCCGCGTATGCGTGCTCTGGCCCCAGGCAGGATTCGCACATCGTGTGCTGGTCGTAACTCATAATGTATCCAGAGCCACATGAGGGACAATCTCTCACACAATTGCTGCTCATGATTGCTCTGTTAATGAAAGTGTCTCTTGTGCTTCAGTAACGGGGTGCTGAAGAAAAAGAGGGAGCAGGTTGTCGGGCCTCCTTCCTATTTATACCGGAAGGGAGCCCGAGGGTGGGGCCCACCTTGCGGGCGGGCGTGGACTACAAGTGTTTCAGTGCTGCGCGGGTGCGCAGGGGGATTACCCAATAGCGATAGCCTTAGAGGGCGAAGCCATATACGAAATAGAACCAACTGTTGCTATCTTTAAACTATGCCGCCGAAACATAATTTCAGCCAATCAGCGTCGTCAAATCTGATGGTCACAGGGCTCCTACGTGAGCGCCCGGTGCAGTCTGTGAGTTGTTTGGACTCGTATCCAAGGAGACAAAACAGGAAGCTGTCATACACTCTGGAAGCTACCATTAGCAGCTAATGAAAACTCCGTTTTTGACATAAAAATTGAATTATGGATCATCAATCATTTGTGACAGACACATTGGATTAACCTATGGATTAACCTTCAGCTGCGTTTTTCTCGTTTTTGATCAGAATTGTTATTCTGCAAAAGGTGAGCATATCTCCGTGTTTTGCTACCTAAAGCTACGTCGTGTGATGTCTGTATTTGCTTCCCCTGTCGCGAGTTCTGATCGCTCAGTGATGATACTTATATTTCTAGAATATGTGGAATCTCAGCTTGTAAGGTTGTTTGTGCATATCCGATAAGTATATCGATTGATTTATACCTAGAGTGCGTTAGGATTTTTTCGCTCAGGGCTCATTTAGACGCTTCTTGTGATACTTGTGTTTTGTTTCGGTAAACATGGTTCATATCATCAGTTAGCTGCGTTTCCTCTGAGTAGGACACATGAATAGTTTATTACATTTTAAGAAGCCCTGAGACACAGTTTCGTGAGAAAGAAAACGGGGGGAAAAAGCCCCTTAACAGGTTAAATGGGAATTAAATCAGTGTTCCCAAAGCCCCGGTGTTCTGCAGTTTGTGTGGGCATACTGTACTGTTGCACAGTTTATGCTGTAGAAACTATGTCCAGGACAAGGTGTTTGGAAGTTTTGGAAGATTCATAGCTCTAACCACACTGAAGTTATGGAGGTATTGATCAGTCTTCTCATATTTTTAAGCCTCCCCCCCCCACTAACATCACCAGAAGTCATAATTTAAGGGGTCTTTTCTCCAAAAAAATTACCGGGGGAGCATCCCCCCGGACCCTGTTGATGAATCGTGATCTTCTCGCTCCCAGGAAAGAAACTTAAAATAATGAGACTAATGGAGTCTCTGAAAAGGTTCAAATGGGTACTTTAATTAAGTAACGTGGTTAAAGAACAAGCATAGGTAAGGAAGAGACAAAGCCGGTGATGTCTCCAGGGAGCTGCAGCGTAGAAAAGAGACCGGGTTGTCCTCTCTCATCCCTTTTATCCTCTCCTCGTTCTCTCCCGCTGTGCAGATAGTGGGACCGCCCTTCTCATCTGCTTTAATTCGACATCGCGTGAAACAGATGATTTCGACATTCTGTATTCCCTGCCTACTTCCTTATCTCTGTCATGACTTTCTATTTAATACCTTATAAACAGCTGTAATAGTTAGTTTAGAAGTCCTAGAAACACCTCTACGGCACAGTTCTCATTTTCGGTAACCACCTCTGTCGTCATAGCTACTCACGTATGTGGAAACACTCTACGATCAACTGTACCTTCATTTAATATTCAGCAGTAATAATATCTCGACGTCTATAGATGTAGTGTTAAAGTCCGTAGGTTTTGGTGTGTAACACTCCATGTCATTTTCACTTCACATTCAGAAAACACATGGTTAGCTACATTCTACATACTGTCCGGATATGAAGGATTTTCAGAATAAAAGCTTGGCATTGAGATTTCCTGAGAACTTCCGGGTTTTTTCACAATAAAACAGCTTTTAAACTGACGATATGTTTTAGACTGAATTATGCCATTTAAACATTGATTTTAATTTCTAACAACCCCTCTAGTATTGTTTGATCACCATTTCCACAGCCCCACCTAAAATATTTTCCACCAGCCGCCACTGTAACAAGCCATTACCATGCTGTCATGAACGTGCGGTGCTGTTACGTGTACGCAAATTGACGTGCTTCATGTGAACGAGCCTTTTGGGGGGCGTGGTTAAAGTTGCGCATGCGCTATGAGCGCACATACGGGTACTTCTCAGGCATGCTGGGTAATCTGTGACGTTTCGCTCTTTCAAAAGTTGGGCCATTTTATCATCATGCGCGAATGAGCAGCTCTCATAGGAATGAATGAGGCCCCGCCTCCCACGCTGTATCCAGTTCTTATTATACATCCATGATGAGGCCCCGCCTCCCACGCTGTATCCAGTTCTTATTATACATCCATGATGAGGCCCCGCCTCCCACGCTGTATCCAGTTCTTATTATACATCCATGATGAGGCCCCGCCTCCCACGCTGTATCCAGTTCTTATTATACATCCATGATGAGGCCCCGCCTCCCACGCTGTATCCAGTTCTTATTATACATCCATGATGAGGCCCCGCCTCCCACGCTGTATCCAGTTCTTATTATACATCCATGATGAGGCCCCGCCTCCCACGCTGTATCCAGTTCTTATTATACATCCATGGTAAGAACTCAAGAAAGATAGTTCAGGAAGTGAAGGAGAGGGTTTTGAGGAAAATGCTCCTAAATAAATTCCTACATTTCCTGAAACCTTTTTGATAAATGTTGAAGCACCATTACAAACTAAACATGATCAGAGCAGGTGAGTTTCTACCTGAGGGGGGAGGTGTTCAGGTCACATGACTTCATGACAAGAGGAACACATGACACAGACCTGTTCAGGTCACATGACTTCACAAACTGCTCTACATCATGATGACTCAGATCTGTCACTAAATATGTTTATAATTAATTTAAACTGGTTATAAAACGTGTTTCCACCGGAAGTGCGTCTGTCTGGGTCTCCATGGTCACCTGGCTGTCACAGACCGGTTGTCAGGGAGACGGTGTTTGGATGGAGGCGGGGCTCCCCCTGCTGGAGGAGAGCGGAACTGCACCTGAGTTATATTATATATATATAGGTGTGTTATCACCTCTCACACTCTTTATCACCTCTCACACACTTGATCACCTCTCACACACTTTATCACCTCTCACACACTTGATCACCTCTCACACACTTGATCACCTCTCACACACTTGATCACCTCTCACACACTTTACATGTCTGTTTAAATTCAAGGTCAGAAGAACTCAGAAGTACGAGTATAATAATAATTGAACTGTTGAAACAACATCAAACATTCATCTGCTACTCAGTAGTATGTATCTAATACCTAATATATATATATCATTCCAATAACTTGTATATAGACTCGTACTGCACTATTCCACATCATCACTTTGTATTGCTCTTGCTCTTATAGTTATTATGTTATTATGTTGCATTGTTGGAGAAGCCTGTGACATAAGATTTTCAACGACATAATTACTCTGTAGCTATGTCAGATTGACAATAAAGAACCTTGAACCTTGAACCTTGAACCTTGAACAATCTGTGGGTGATTTTATGGTTTGGAGCAGGAGTTAAAACAAAGCATAATTCAGTTTAAAAGGATTTACAGAAACACTTTTTGGGAAAACTGAGAATGAAGAGAGGTGACTGAAGATGAGACATTAATGTATAAATGTATAAACTATGAGAATGAAGAGAGGTGACTGAAGATGAGACATTAATGTATAAATGTATAAACTATGAGAATGAAGAGGAGACTGAAGAGGAGACATTAATGTATAAATGTATAAACTATGAGAATGAAGAGGTGACTGAAGATGAGACATTAATGTATAAATGTATAAACTATGAGAATGAAGAGGAGACTGAAGAGGAGACATTATTGTATAAATGTAAATGTAGGAATAACTTGCATAAAGATTTAAAGGACATCATTGATCAAGTAAGGGGTGGGAATGAATAAGCTTTGCTTCCTCCTGCTCCCTTTCGGACACATGTGATTTATTATTATTAATATGAAGACTTTTTTTGTTGAATATATAAATATCATGAATGTGGATAAATACTGTGTTTTATATATACGGTATTCTGTTTTTCACATTTGTTATTTTTTTAATCTGTTCGAAATAAAGATTGAAATGAAACTGATTATTATCTAACATATATAATATACTAATATCACTGTTTATAATGCAGCCTGGGTATTACCTTCTGTATACGTGAGTGCAGAGCAGCTGCACGTGTAAATAAGTGAGTACAAGTACCTGGAACATGTACTCAAAGTATTACTAACGGCGCAGCACTGACACGTCTAATAATTACAAACACATTTAAAGAAAGAGAGATTTATAGACAGGAAGAAATGAATCACCAAGCTGTTATATTATAAACACTATATATAATACATTATAGTACATCAGAAACCACCTGAAGACCACCTGAAGACCACCTGAAGACCACCTGAAGACCACCTGAAGACCACCTGAGTGTTCACACATTACAGAAACAGCTATTCTCTAAATGAGAGCTGCAATGTTATTGGTCTGACTCTGATCAGGTGTCGTGTGACGTGTCTCTCAGTGTGTGTGTGTGTGTGTGTGTGTGTGTGTGTGTGTGTGTGTGTGTGTGTGTGTGTGTGTGTGTGTGTGTCTCAGGGTAGATTCAGCAGGTCATGTTTGGAGTACAGCTCCTCAGTGATGGTGTAGACCTCCCCCAGCACGGGCACGGCCCCCCCCAGCACCTCCACAGCCTGCGGGGGCTCTCCAGCGTTCAGCATCCTCAGGAAGGGGTCTCGGGGGGGCAGCATCTTGAAGGCCAGGCCGGCTGCAGAGCGGATCACCCAGGGGTGGTGCTGCGAGAGGGACTGGGAGTAGGCCAAGGAGCACAGGGTGGGGGGGGTGCCCTCGTCTCTGCTGACCCCCCCCAGGAAGAGCTGCAGCCAGCGGAGCGCTCTGTGGAGCCGGAGGAGGGTCCGGCAGCCAGACACCCCCCTGGTGCCGGACGCAGGGTGATCCCCCCCCTCCACCAAGCCGCTCTGCAGCTCGTACTGAACCATGGACTGCAGCGACAGGTAGTGAGCCCCCTCAGGACCCCCCCGCAGCGACACCAGGATGCTCAGCTTGTTCACCACGTCTTTGGAGATGAAGCCAAACACACTGCCAAGGCTGTTCAGCAACCTTTAAAGAGAGCAGAGAAGAAGAGATGAAACACACACACACACACACTGCCAAGGCTGTTCAGCAACCTTTAAAGAGAGCAGAGAAGAAGAGATGAAACACACACACACACTGCCAAGGCTGTTCAGCAACCTTTAAAGAGAGCAGAGAAGAAGAGATGAAACACACACACACACACACACACACACACACACACACACACACACACACACACACACACACACACACACACACACACACACACACACACACACACACACACACACACACACACACACACACACACACACACACACACACACACACACACACACACACCACACACAACACACACACACACACACACACACACACACACACACACACACACACACACACACACACACACACACACACACACACACACACACACACACTAAAGTTGACTCACTTGACCAGCGCCCTCCAGCCCTCCACATATTGATCCATGAAGATCTCCTTGCTGTCGGACAGACTGAGCTTGAAGGAGTCGATCACTTCCTGGAGAGAGAACTCCTCCGACATGCTGCTTCAATAACAGAACCTACAGAACCACAGGAACCAGAACTAACAGAACCAAAGGAACCACAACCAGGAACCACAACTAGAGAGAGACCGGAGAGAGACCGGAGAGAGACCGGAGGAATTAAGACCGGAAGAGACTCTTCAGGAACAACCTGTCAGTCCAGATCCCTCTCTACTGCGCAGACTCCAGATCCGTCTCTAGTGCGCCGACTCCAACCGGTGAACTCCGGAAAACTGAGGACTTCGCCTTCAAAATAAAAGCGTTGCCTTCCATGAAAATATGTACAAGAACCACAAGTTAATAATAAAGTAAAATATGAAACATGCTATGAAGAATATTACAATATAAAGTCAGCAGAGTAGATTAAAAAGTACAATACAAATTGAAAAACATTATAAAAATATGTATTGGAAAGAAATACAGTTCCAGCTACTTTATTTTGAAGGCGTCCACCGGAAGTGGTGTCTGTTGTTTAAAAGAGGGGCAGAAATTATCCTCGTGTTTCTGTTAAGAAGTTAGATTCAAACATTCCCCATTCATTATAAAGTTAGTTATACAGTTAGTTATAAAGGTAATCAATAGTTTAACCTGTGAGATGCCGGAGATCAAAGTGACGCCGCTGGGTGAGTGACGTCAGGCTGCTAGCCACCGTTAGCTCCTGAATGCTAACTGTCAACAACAGTCTCTATTTAAACTTCTTCACTCAGTTTAACTGCAAACACTGTTATTCTCTCTCTCATAGCGGAGCTGCTGTGTGTCCTGGGTTCATCATGTTCTGTTTCTATTCTCTCTCTCATAGCGGAGCTGCTGTGTGTCCTGGGTTCATCATGTTCTGTTTCTATTCTCTCTCTCATAGCGGAGCTGCTGTGTGTCCTGGGTTCATCATGTTCTGTTTCTATTCTCTCTCTCATAGCAGAGCTGCTGTGTGTCCTGGGTTCATCATGTTCTGTTTCTATTCTCTCTCTCATAGCGGAGCTGCTGTGTGTCCTGGGTTCATCATGTTCTGTTTCTATTCTCTCTCTCATAGCGGAGCTGCTGTGTGTCCTGGGTTCATCATGTTCTGTTTCTATTCTCTCTCATAGCGGAGCTGCTGTGTGTCCTGGGTTCATCATGTTCTGTTTCTATTCTCTCTCTCATAGCAGAGCTGCTGTGTGTCCTGGGTTCATCATGTTCTGTTTCTATTCTCTCTCTCATAGCGGAGCTGCTGTGTGTCCTGGGTTCATCATGTTCTGTTTCTATTCTCTCTCTCATAGCGGAGCTGCTGTGTGTCCTGGGTTCATCATGTAGTTGAACCCAGTTGATATGTAGTACAGGAGGTTATAGTCTTTAAAGGATATGTAGTACAGGAGGTTATAGTCTTTAAAGGATATGTAGTACAGGAGGTTATAGTCTTTAAAGGATATGTAGTACAGGAGGTTATAGTCTTTAAAGGATATGTAGTACAGGAGGTTATAGTCTTTAAAGGATATGTAGTACAGGAGGTAATAGTCTTTAAAGGATATGTAATACAGGAGGTTATAGTCTTTAAAGGATATGTAGTACAGGAGGTAATAGTCTTTAAAGGATATGTAATACAGGAGGTTATAGTCTTTAAAGGATATGTAGTACAGGAGGTTATAGTCTTTAAAGGATATGTAATACAGGAGGTTATAGTCTTTAAAGGATATGTAGTACAGGAGGTTATAGTCTTTAAAGGATATGTAATACAGGAGGTTATAGTCTTTAAAGGATATGTAGTACAGGAGGTAATAGTCTTTAAAGGATATGTAGTACAGGAGGTTATAGTCTTTAAAGGATATGTAGTACAGGAGGTAATAGTCTTTAAAGGATATGTAGTACAGGAGGTTATAGTCTTTAAAGGATATGTAGTACAGGAGGTAATAGTCTTTAAAGGATATGTAGTACAGGAGGTTATAGTCTTTAAAGGATATGTAGTACAGGAGGTTATAGTCTTTAAAGGATATGTAATACAGGAGGTTATAGTCTTTAAAGGAAATGTAGTACAGGTATTACAGATGGAGGTACAGTAGTCCGGCAGTGGCTCAGTCAGTAGGGGCTTGGACTGGGAGCACAGGATGTATTTATATATATATATATATTTATATATGTGTATTATATATGTATTAATATGTGTATTTCTGTGTGTATGTAGGAGCGGGGCAGGACGTGGGGCGCAGCTGCATTCTGGTCTCCATCGGGGGGAAGAACATCATGCTGGACTGTGGCATGCACATGGGATACAACGATGATGTAATATTACTATCATTACATTCAAGTAAACATGTTGTTGTTGTTGTTGTAATATAATAAGGCTGTGTTTCAGAGGCGGTTCCCAGACTTCTCGTACATCACTCAGAACGGACGGCTCACTGAGTTCCTGGACTGCGTCATCATCAGGTCTTTATTACACTTCTTTAATATGTAGACATGTATTCATGAGGATGAACCCCTTGAGATGCACCGTCTGGGTTTCCAGGGGGTCCCGACAGAAGCACCGTCTCACAGAGAGACATGAACAACACAACAGAAAGCAAAGCATGACATGAATATACAAATAAATAAATGTTAACCCATTATCCCAGTCACTTCCACCTGGACCACTGCGGGGCGCTGCCCTTCATGAGTGAGATGGTGGGCTACGACGGACCCATCTATATGACCCACCCCACGAAGGCCATCTGCCCCATCCTGCTGGAGGACTTCAGGAAGATCACCGTGGACAAGAAGGGGGAGACCAACTTCTTCACCTCGCAGATGATCAAGGACTGCATGAAGAAAGTAGTTCCTCTCAACCTGCACCAGACCGTCCAGGTGAGACCAGACCAGGTCTCCACAGATCAATATCACACACCTGAGGGTATCCACAGATCAATATCACACACCTGAGGGTATCCACAGATCAATATCACACACCTGAGGGTATCCACAGATCAATATCACACACCTGAGGGTATCCACAGATCAATATCACACACCTGAGGGTATCCACAGATCAATATCACACACCTGAGGGTCTCCACAGATCAATATCACACACCTGAGGGTCTCCATAGATCAATATCACACACCTGAGGGTATCCACAGATCAATATCACACACCTGAGGGTCTCCATAGATCAATAGCATACACCTGAGGGTCTCCATAGATCAATATCACACACCTGAGGGTCTCCATAGATCAATATCACACACCTGAGGGTATCCACAGATCAATATCACACACCTGAGGGTATCCACAGATCAATATCACACACCTGAGGGTCTCCATAGATCAATATCACACACCTGAGGGTCTCCACAGATCAATATCACAAACCTGAGGGTATCCACAGATCAATATCACACACCTGAGGGTATCCACAGATCAATATCACACACCTGAGGGTCTCCACAGATCAATATCACACACCTGAGGGTCTCCACAGATCAATATCAAACACCTGAGGGTCACCACAGATCAATATCACACACCTGAGGGTCACCACAGATCAATATCACACACCTGAGGGTCTCCATAGATCAATATCACACACCTGAGGGTCACCACAGATCAATATCACACACCTGAGGGTCTCCACAGATCAATATCACACACTTGAGGGTCTCCACAGATCAATATCACACACCTGAGGGTCTCCATAGAGGGTCTCCATAGATCAATATCACACACCTGAGGGTCTCCACAGATCAATATCACACACCTGAGGGTCTCCATAGATCAATATCACACACCTGAGGGTCTCCATAGAGGGTCTCCATAGATCAATATCACACACCTGAGGGTCTCCACAGAGGGTCTCCATAGATCAATATCACACAGCTGAGGGTCTCCATAGATCAATATCACACACCTGAGGGTCTCCACAGATCAATATCACACACCTGAGGGTCTCCACAGATCAATATCACACACCTGAGGGTCACCACAGATCAATATCACACACCTGAGGGTCTCCACAGATCAATATCACACACCTGAGGGTCACCACAGATCAATATCACACACCTGAGGGTCTCCACAGATCAATATCACACACCTGAGGGTCTCCACAGATCAATATCACACACCTGAGGGTCTCCACAGATCAATATCACACACCTGAGGGTCACCACAGATCAATATCACACACCTGAGGGTCACCACAGATCAATATCACACACCTGAGGGTCTCCACAGATCAATATCACACACCTGAGGGTCACCACAGATCAATATCACACACCTGAGGGTCTCCACAGATCAATATCACACACCTGAGGGTCTCCATAGAGGGTCTCCATAGATCAATATCACACACCTGAGGGTCTCCACAGATCAATATCACACACCTGAGGGTCTCCATAGATCAATATCACACACCTGAGGGTCTCCATAGAGGGTCTCCATAGATCAATATCACACACCTGAGGGTCTCCACAGAGGGTCTCCATAGATCAATATCACACACCTGAGGGTCTCCATAGATCAATATCACACACCTGAGGGTCACCATAGATCAATATCATACACCTGAGGGTCTCCATAGATCAATATCACACACCTGAGGGTCTCCACAGATCAATATCACACACCTGAGGGTCTCCACAGATCAATATCACACACCTGAGGGTCACCACAGATCAATATCACACACCTGAGGGTCTCCACAGATCAATATCACACACCTGAGGGTCTCCACAGATCAATATCACACACCTGAGGGTCTCCATAGAGGGTCTCCATAGATCAATATCACACACCTGAGGGTCTCCACAGAGGGTCTCCATAGATCAATATCACACACCTGAGGGTCTCCATAGATCAATATCACACACCTGAGGGTCTCCACAGATCAATATCACACACCTGAGGGTCTCCACAGATCAATATCACACACCTGAGGGTCTCCACAGATCAATATCACACACCTGAGGGTCTCCACAGATCAATATCACACACCTGAGGGTCTCCATAGATCAATATCACACACCTGAGGGTCTCCACAGATCAATATCACACACCTGAGGGTCTCCACAGATCAATATCACACACCTGAGGGTCTCCACAGATCAATATCACACACCTGAGGGTCTCCACAGATCAATATCACACACCTGAGGGTCTCTACAGATCAATATCACACACCTGAGGGTCACCATAGATCAATATCACACACCTGAGGGTCTCCACAGATCAATATCACAC